TGCAAACTCCACACTGACCCAGCCGGGACTCGAACCAGTGACCTTCTTGCTGTGAGGCGATCATGGTAACTACTGCGCCACTGTGTCATTTAGACTCATTATTTCTTAAAACACCACAATATGTTGCAGTGTGTGTGTGTGTGTGTGTGTGTGTGTGTGCGTGTGTTGTAATTTATACCTTGCACGCGACTCTATGAGGACACAGTTTGCCGAAGCCCAGCGGCGGCTGAATCCTGCGCAGTAACGTCACCACGTCTAAATGCTTGATTCGGCCCCTGATGAACACAAACACACTGTCAAACACACGCACACACACAACACACACACACACACACAGCATCTGATGCATATATACTTGGCCTCGGGATCATATTCCGACCAGATCCTCTTGAATTCATCTAAATGATGCGGTCCAAGGATTGACCAATCACGTGTCAGGTAGTCAAAGTTGTCCATGATGACGGCGACGAATAAATTAATGATCTGTGGGGGAGGGAAATCAGTAATGAAACTAAATTGAGCAAAATTCTATTTAGAAACCAAATTCAAAATTCAAAAAACAGAAACTAAATTGCCAAAACAGTTGGCTAAATTATTCAACAAAATTATTATTATTATTATTATTTTTTTGCAATATTTCGTATGTTTTTTCTTCTGGAGAAAGTTTTAACATTTTTTAAGTATAATTTTAAAGGTCAATATTATCAAATATCTTCTTTTTATTAAACCACTTGGGAAATAAAAAAATAAAATAAAATAATAAAAGAAAAAGAAAAAAAAAAGAAAAAAATATTAATAATAATTATTTTAATATTTATTTTTTATTTTCCATTTTATTTTCTAATAAAACAGTAGTTGTAGTTGATTATTATTGATGTTATCTATTAAATTGGACCGGGAGAGCAGTGAGCACATGGAGCTGGGCTGTTTTAATATACCAGGAAAGCGCAGAGCATGTAGAAGCTGATGAAGTAGAGGATGGCGAAGTTGCTCCCGCAGGATTTCTCTTCTCCAGGATTATAGTCGGACTCGGAATCACACAGTTTTCCAGGTAAACAAGCCAACATGATCTGCTGCCACGCTTCACCTGTCGCACACCTGAAAAGACCATTAGAACAGCCATACATAATGTCAATTAGTAAACGAGAAAACTCGTTAGTAAAACTTTAAATTAATGTTCCATTCGCTCATTTCAAGAGTTCACACTCAGCTGATGATTGATAATGAAGCTTGTTTGGCATGCTGTCCCAAGAGAGAGCCCTGAGCTCATGAGATCCTCGAGCCCGGGGCTCCCTCACGTTTGCAGGGTGAGATGGGAGTTTGAGCTCAGGTAGATCTGGAGAACTCCCCTGTTGTAGTAGCTAATGAAAAGATCGTGATCGCTCTTAAGAGATAACTAGTGCCTAGGAGCATGTCTATGGTGCTGATTTGGATCAGTCAATTAACTTAAGCTGCGTGTTTCTGAACGGTGGGAGGCAGGGCCGGAGCAAGCTGAACTGCCACTCTAGGCAGAGGACGGTCACGCCGCCCTCAACCCCAATGTGAAAACGAAAGTGACCGGTTATGAAAATGAAGTGAGGTGTCGCGGACCTCTATTCTGCCGCCCTATGCGCGGATATAACTGAGGACGCGCGGCGGCTGAGGAAGGGAGGGAGGTGTCGCGGATGCCGCCCTCTCTATTCTGCCGCCCTATTCGCTGATATAACCAAGGACACGCGAGTGCTGATGGAGGTGTCGCCTATACGCGAATATATCTGAGTGGTGAGGGAGGTGTCGCAGACACAACTGAGGACGCGGGTGGTAAGGGAGGTGTCGCGGATGCCGCCCTCTCTATACTGCCGCCCTAGGCGGCCGCCTAGGTTGCCTCTATGGAGATGCCAGCCCTGGTGGGAGGAAACTGGAGAACCTGGAGGAAACCCACGTGAGCACGGGGAGAACGTGTAAACTCCACACAGAAACGCCAGCTGGCTTGGTAAGGACTAATCAGTGACGTTCTTGCAGTGAGGCGACAGTGCTAACCACTGCGCCACCGTGCCACCCATCTAGGAAAGGAGGAGGAGTAGGGGTGGAAGGGGGGAGTCTTCAAAATGAAGATGGCTGTGATATGGAGCTGAGGGTGTTTATAGCGGCTTAGGAATCGTCAGATTGGTCAATCATAAATTGGATAATGTGGGACCGGCTGTGATCAATCATAAACACGTGACCATCTCGACATTACTTTATAAATAAACTTCACGTAATTACTGACATCAACAAACAATTAGAGCTCCCTTTATTACAGTTTTTATTCAACGTTGATAAATTTAGATAATGTTGCTTTAGTTAAATAATGTTTCACTTTGGGTTTTAATAATGCATTAGTTAATGCTGAACTATGACTGATAAATTCTGCACAAGATTAGTCATACTTAATGACATTAACTAGCATTAACTAAAGGACCATTATTCTAAAGTGTCACCAATTCATCTTTTTATTTGACCTCTTGCTATGAATAACCAAGAGATGAAAAATCTAGTCACGCTGTAAAAATCAGCCCAGGTCTCATTGGAAATACATACAAGCAGAAATATTATTATTATGATTGCAAAGTTTTATTTTGTAGCCAAATGCACCAGGATAATGTTTTTAACCCTTGTGTATTGTTCCAGTTGACTCCCCTTTGGTGATGTTGGTGCTGTTTTTGCCCCATTGACTTCCATTATAATCACTTTTTTTACTGTAAAACCATAACAGCATATAATCATGCATTCTTGAGTGTTGCTGGTTTTACCTGTTGAGGTAAAACATTTCATTTTTACTGTTGATCATCATTTGGCAGCATTAACCCTTTAGATAGGCCTGTGCTAAAGAGTTTTTGACTTTTATATTCAGTTCAGTGGAGTAAAACCAAGCTTTTGTTGCACTGCAACTGATGATCGACAGTAAAAATGACACGTTGTCCCTCTTCCCAACAGGAAAAACCAGCAGCAATCAAGAATGCATGATTATATGCTGTCATGGCTTTACAATCAATAAATGAGATTGTAATGGAAGTCAATGGGGCAAAAACAGCCCCGAACATAACCAAAGAGGAGTCAATCTAAACAGAGTCTTGTTGAGATTCAAAGCATTTCCTCAAAATATGAGTAAAAATCAGATTTGTCAGCAAAAATCATCACATTTGCTGAAACACAGAGAAAATTTAGGCCAAATTAGGACTCAAAATCAGCCCAGAGTGGATGAAAACGACCCAACAGCACACAAGGGTTAATCAAATAAACATAAGACTGAAATAATGTATAATTTTTGGCACGCCAGTGAGACTCACTCAATCAAAACTGACTGATTATTACGATATTGTCCTGAACACACCTGAACAGCAGGAGCACGGCTTGAGGAAAGGTCTGGAAATTATTATTGCGATTAATACTGGTTCCATCCACCATAGCAATCTTCCCGAACACCTACAAAAACAAATAACAAGCGATTATCATAATTCACGGCGGCGATCCGACAAAACTGCAGCGGCTTTTACAATGTTTACCTGCATTCCGATGACAGCATAGATGAAGAAGAGCATGGCGATGAGCAGAGCCACATACGGCAGAGCCTGTCACAGAGAAACAACACTGACGTCAGCTCAAACATCACACACACACGCGCCACAGCGGAATGAACCGCCAACTATTCCAGCATATGTTTTACACAGAGGATGCTCATCTAGCTCAACCCAGAACTGGGAAACACCCAAACACACTTATTCTCACACACACACACACACACACACACTACGACCAATTTAGTTGATCAGTTCCCCTATAGTGCATGTGTTTGGACTGTGGGGGAAACCCACACCAACACGGGGAGAACATGCAAACTCCACACAGAAATGCCAACAGGCCCAGCCAGAACTCAAATTAGTGACCTTCTAGCTGTGAGGCCACAGTGATTACCATTGAGCCACCGTGCCACCCCTATTTATTTTCTATCCATGGTTATCGGCCCATGTCTAGTGCATTATATGGCATATATGATCTTCAGGTGTGGATCAATCATGCATTCACCTCCCAAAAAAAGCAGTACCAGGTTTTTTTTGTATATTTAGCAGGACTTTTGACAGTATTTGTCATGCAATATACCTGAAAAGACTTGATGAATGTCCAGAGTAGCGTGCGGATGCCTTCTCCTCGGCTCAGCAGCTTCACTAGACGCATGACCCGAAACAGCCGGAAGAACGTGATGGAGATTCTCGCACTGTCCTCCGTGTTCTGGGAAAACAGTTCATGTTAATGCGCTATATTTGGCTTCAGTGTGTCACACATGGCGCAGTGTGAGTATTGTGGGAACAGCACTGTGTGTTCCACTCGTCTGCACTGTTCTTGTCTCGTTTCTAGTCTGAATGTCTAAAAATTCTTAAATAGTCTGCAAGTGTGGTACGGGCATGGCAAAAGATGCTCTTCTTGCTTCGAGTTTTGGTCTTGTTTGTAGACCAGATATCTAAAAACTCTAAAATCAAGAAGCTTTTTCTAGACAAATACAAAATATTGTCTTGTTTTCAGAAATAACGAGTCAAAATAAAGTTAAAGCAAGAAAAATAACTGGCCAATAGAGTGAGATAATCTTATTTCAAAAGGAAAAACAAGATTATTTTGCTTGTTTTAAAGAAAATCTCACTTCATTTTAACTCATTATTTCTAAGAAACGAGACAATGTTTAGTGCTTCTCTAGAAAATGCCTCTTAATATAAGAATTTTCAGATATTTGGACTAAAAACAAGGCAAAAACTAAATAGGAAAAGCATTTTTTTGCAATGTAAAATAGTCTTATTTCATATTAATTACCATTCTGGCAGATCATTTAGCTGGTTTTTAAAAAAAAAACTGGTAGGAATGAACAATAAGGTTGTAATAATTAGGTGTTGTGTGAACAGGACTGTGTGTTTGACTGTAAAAATGCATTTCTTCTGTTTTCATCTCCATTTTTAATTCAAATGTCTACAAATTCTGATTAAAAAAGCATTTTGTTAACATCGTTACAGAAATAAAAAGTCAAAGTTAAGTGTTTTTTTTCCTCAAAACAACTGAAATAATCAGCTAAAGTAAAATATTCTTACTTTAAACAAAAAAGAAGATTATTTTAAGGACAAAAATCACTTAATTTTGACTTATTTGGCTAGAAAATTTGACTCATTTGTCTAGAAAATGCTTCTTAATATAAGATTTTTAAATATTTAGACTAAAAACAAGGCAAAAACTAAATAGGAAAAGCATTTTTTGCAGTGTAAAATAGTCTTATTTCATATTAATTACCACACTAGCAGATTATTTAGCTGTTTTTAAATAAAAACTGGTAGGAATTTACAATAAGGTTGTAATAATTAGGCATTGTGTGAACAGGACTGTGTGTTTGACTGTAAAAATGCATTTCTTCAAGTTTTCATCTCCATTTTTAATCCAAATATCTACAAATAACGATTAAAAACAGCCTTTTCTTGAAAACTCAAACATACTGATTTATTTTAGAAATATTAAGTCAACATTAAGTGAGTTTTTCCCTAAAACAACCTAAACTGACAACTGCCAAAGTAAAATATTATTATGATTTCAAACCAAAAACAAGATTATTTAAGGAAAAAACTCTTCATTTTGACTCATTATTTCTGAAAACAAGACTACATCTTATGCTTGTTTGGAAAATGCTAAGAATTTTGAGATATTTGGACTAGAAACAAGACTGAAACTCTCAGTAATTAAAGCCTGATTTGATTAATTTTGCAGCGTGACGTTCTGCTTGATTGAGGGTGATTTTCATGCTGAGTTTGTCATGCACTGCAGGCGTCGCATTCTCAAATAATAAATGAATGCTGTTTATGGTTTGATCATAAACATAAGCAGATCATTCTCTTACAGGCTCTTACCCCTGACTACTTCACATACAGCAGATCCTGAGGGCTTCAACAGATCAGAGGATGCGCATTACTCACATTCATCTCATTACTGATGAAAGCTGCTGAATCAGCACTCAGTTACACCTCCAATAAAACAATCCACATACATAAAGACCAGATATTTGTTGTACTAAAAAGTATTTATCTTGCATTCATCTTTTTAGTCTAATTCAACTCATTCATTTTAAGTCTAAGTCTCTGTTAAGTTTAAGTCTCACAATTCTGACTTTTTTTCGCTGAATTATGGGTTACTTTGGGACTTAATTCTGAATTTATATCCTGAATTTTTGGCTTCATTTTTGGGAGGAATTCCAAATTCATAAATGACTTTTTTGTTGAAATTCTGCATTTACATGCATTAACTCTGACCTTTTTCAACAATGATTGGATTTTTTATATGAACAATTCTGGCTTTTTACTTTGAAAATTGTTGAATTTTTTTTGCAATTTTGACTTTTTCTTTAAAACAATTTTGGCTTTTTTTTTAAACAATTCTGACGTTTTTCTCTTTAAATGATTTTGACCTTTTTTAATTAATTTTAACTTATTTATTTATTTTTTTTTTACAATTTGTACTTTTTTCTAAGAACAATTCTGTCTTTTTTGATTTAGATTTTAACTAATTCTTTAAAACATTTTTCTTCAAACGATTTTAACCTTTTTAATAAACTTTGCTTTTTTTAATCAATTCTAGCTTTTTAAAAAACAATTTTGGCTCTTTTTTTAACAATTTTGGATATTTTAGATGAACAATTCTGGCTTTTTACCTTAAAAAATTACATCTTTATACAATTTTGCCTTTTTTTTTTTTTTTTTTGCTTTTTAAAACATTTTTGGCTTTTATTAAAGAATTCTGATGTTTTTTTTTTTTTTTTTTCAACGATTTTGACCTTTTTAAATAAATTTTGGCCTTTTTAATCAACTTTGGCTTTTTTAAACAATTCTGGGTTTTTTTTCTTTAAACGATTTTGGTTCTTTTTAACAATTTTGGATTTTATAATCAATTTTGGTTTTTTTTTTTTTTTTTTACAATTTTAGGTCTTTTTAAAACAATTTTGGATTTTTTTATTAACAATTCAGGCTTTTTACGTTGAAAATTGTCAATTTTTTTATAAAATTTTGACTTTT